GGGGACCTGGTGCGGTCTCTGCTGGTTCTGGAGATGCTGCGCGGCCGCGGCCGTACTTCGTTCCTCTCCTTCAGCAGGTTCTTGGTCTCCCACCCTCTACTAGTCCTTCTCCTCCCTTACTATTTCCGCCGCCTGACCAGCCGCAGTCGCAGTTACCGCCAGCCTCCCCGCTGCCTGGTCCTTCTCCTTACACTGGACCAACCGGAGGTCTTGCTGAGCGTCCTGAGTCTGCGTCTCGCCCTGCGTCGCCTGTTCGCGCTGCTCACACTAGTCGTCGCATTCCGCGTCCGCGTCCTCCTCCTGTCCCCAGCACGCACCAGATGGCACTCCGTCCTTCCTCTGTTCCACTGCGCGTCCCTCTGTCGTCTCCTCATGCGTCCTCCCTTACTGAAGGTCCGGACCCCGAGTCTGACTCACTTCGTGCTGCTAGCCCTACTGTCATGCGTCTGCTAGCTACTGTTGTCACTGACCCTTCCTTTGAGTCCACTGCTGCGTCTGCCTTAGTTGCTTAGCTTGTCGACTTTGCTGCTCGCTGTCGTCTCGACTACGCCGCTAGTCTTATTGCTGAGTCTGAGTCTGTCTGTTCTCCGTCCGTCGGGGGTGAGTGTGCCCTTGGCACGGACGTCCTTGAGGACAGGCAAGAGGACCTTGAGTGTTTTGCGGCTGCTGTACCTCATCTCGTGTCCATGCTGATTGCACCTGAGGGAGACCCGGATGCACCAGACATCCCGAACCCGCGCTCTTACGCAGAGGCGATAGAGGGTCCCTACTCCTCTCAGTGGCAATCAACCATGGACGTAGAGATGGCATCCTGGAAGTCCACAGGCACTTACGTCGAAGAGGTTCCCCCTCCTGGGGCGAATATCGTCAGTGGCATGTGGATTTTCAGGGTGAAGCGGCCGCCGGGTTCTCCGCCTGTCTTCAAAGCGCGTTACGTTGCACGAGGCTTCAGTGAGCGACAGGGAGTTGACTTCTTCCAGACCTTCTTCCCGACCCCGAAGATGACCACTCTTCGGGTTCTGCTCCACGTCGCCGCTTACCGTGACTACCAGCTTCACTCTCTTGACTTCAGAACTGCTTTCCTGCAGGGCAACCTACACGAGGAGATCTGGCTGCGCCGCCCACCTGGCTTCACTGGGTCGTTTCCTCCTGGTACCCAGTGGAGCCTCCGGCGGCCAGTCTACGGTCTCCGCCAGGCGCCTCGCGAGTGGCATGACACACTGAGGACGACTCTTGCGGCTCTTGGGTTTGCTCCTTCTACTGCTGACCCGTCGCTGTTTCTACGCACCGACACTTCGCTGCCGCCGTTCTACATCCTCGTGTACGTCAACAACTTGGTTTTTGCCACTGCTGACACTGAGGCACTGACTCTAGTGAAGTCGGAGCTACAGAAGAGACACACGTGCACAGACCTCGGTGAGCTGTGCAGCTATCCTGGCTTGCATATCACCCAGGACAGAGCACGCCGCACCATCACCCGTACTCAGTCACACATGGTGCAGCAGGTCCTTCAGCGCTTCGACTTCCAGTACTCCTCGCCACAGTCCACTCCTCTGCCTACCGGTCACTCGCTCTCAGCTCTGCCTTCGGATGAGTCCGTAGAGCCGAGTGGCCCGTATCCAGAGCTTGTGGGCTGCCTCATGTACCTGATGACCTGCACTCGTCCTGACCTTGCTTACCCTCTTAGCATCCCTGCACGCTACGTTGCGCCCGAGAGACACCGACCAGAGCACTGGAAGGCAGCTGAGAGGGTGATGGGCTACTTGTGCAGTACGTCAGGCATGGGGCTCGTGCTTGGAGGACAGGGTCGAGTTGTCCTCACGGGTCAAGCTGACGCTTCTTGGTTTGACGACTTGGCTACGCAGCGGTCGTCACAGGGTTACACCTTCAGCCTTGGCTCCGATTCTGTTTCGTGGCGGTCTACCCGCTCGTCTTCTGTTCTCAGCTGCAGCTGTGAGGCTGAGATCTACGCAGGGGCCATGGCTGCACAGGAGCTACGCTGGCTCACCTACCTGCTGACCGACCTGGGAGAGGCGCCTCGTTCTCCTCCAGTTCTGTACGTCGACAACAAGGCAATGCTTGCCTTGTGTCGCGAGCAGAGACTGGAGCAGAGAACGAAGCACATCGCTCTTCGCTACTTCTTTGCTCGAGAGTTGCAGCAGCGTGGTCAGCTTCGTCTTATTTACGTGGCCTCTCAGGCCAACACTGCTGATATCTTCACCAAGGCACTTCAACCTTGTGATCATCAGCGGTTCAGTATTGTTCTAGGCCTTGTGCCTACTTGGCCTCACTTGCTTACTTCTTGACTTTGCTTGTACTGTGATCTATATATTTATACCTGCATGCTTACACTTGCTAGGTTGTGATCACTGTCCTGCTTGTTCTCCTTTATATATATAACTCTGCATGTGGACTGGCCTTGTGGCCATTTGCTTGTGCTCTGAATGCGTGGTGACGTTGTGATCCACCCTGGGCTTGACCTTGCTTAGTTCTCTTGCTTGTCCCCCACTTTGCCTATGGGGGTGTGTCAGAACTATGCTGTAGGCTGTAGTGGGGCACTCCTCATGGGGTACAGCCCAATTAGTTTTTCATATACAAACCCTGTACTGCTGTGTTTCTAGTCATTCTTCGTTCCTAGTTTCTGACACTGCCTTCTCGGCCCTCAAGAAAACTTTGTGCTCGCCGCCTGCACTTCACATCGCCGATCCGCACCGTCCGTTCAAGGTCGTCACCGACGCTAGCGACATCGCCGTGGGAGCAGTACTGTTGCAGGACTTCGGGAACGGCCTTCAGCCAATCGCGTACGAGTCCCGCAAGATTCACTTGCCCGTACGCAACTACCCGATACACGACCGCGCGATGTTAGCGATCGTGCACGCGTTCAAGGTGTGGCGATATTACCTCACGAGAGCAGACGTGACAGTACGAACAGATCACCGATCACTACAGTACCTACCCGCCCAACCGAATCTCAACCCTCGACAGATCTGCTGGTTGGACTATTTGGAGTCCAACTTTCACTACATCGTCACGTACAAGAAAGGAGCATAAAAAACCGCCGACGCCCTCACTCACCCTGCCGCCCAACTTCACGCCATCCTACTCGACCAACCCAACCCGAAATTATTCCAAATCAGCCACATGATCACCCCAGTTTCTGCCCATTTACTGGTGCCAACAGACTGGTACATCAGCCCATCATTCCAGGTCAGCCTGCTTCGCCCTTACATCCCAACCACAAGCCTACTGCCTCGTCACCGCCCGCTGTCCATGACTCGCCCTGCATCAGAGCCAATTATTGAGCTTGAGAAGATTTTGAGCCATCAGATTCGACACCCCACCGGCTTCAAGAGGATCGGGTTTTTCGTTCGCTGGAAGGATCGCACGCCAACTCAGGATAGCTGGGTGCCCCTAGCCAACATTGAAAACCACCCTGCCCTGCAAGAGTACCTGGGGAGTTGGGGTTTCTGCGATATACACGCACTCGTGTAGCGGAGGGGCTTCTTGAGGGGGGGGGAGGGGGTAGTGTAAGGAATTTTCTCGACATTCCTTGCCGCGACCGTCAACATCGCGTAAAGCAGCAGCCGTTGTTCCCCCGTTACTGCTAACAGGGCTTCGCCGACTTTGCGCGCACTGTTACACCAAACCACGCACTGCTGGCCTGGCCGAGTCGGCCTACGTTTCGGGACTAGCCCGAACCTCTACGCGAGCTTAGCACTAGCTAGCTCGCACGCACCGCGTTACCGTTTGCATGTTTCGCGTGTAAATGGCCGCTCATGCATTCGCTCACATATTGTACCCGTTTGACACTTTGTGCAATCCTCGCTACCTCCATTCATTGCACCCGTAACAACAAGATTGGTCAACGTCCTGACTTCAAGGCACCAATGTCGGAGGAGGCACGAAGTGGGGTAAAGGTAAAGGAGGGGGGAAATCCCCCTTTGGGTTGCCCCCGGCTGTCGATCGTAATCCGCCTACCCACTTGTTTACACGCCTCGCTGGGTATCGAGGTAAGGATGTATCCACTCCTAGATAAATAGTGCGACACCCCCTTCTGGGGGGCTGGCAGAACTTGTCGGCACTGGAGTTTGATCATGCAACCTCATCCTTTCGGAAGTCCCATTTTACTTGACTAGGCCACTTCATGAGAGGAGGTACCAAGTGGGGATGAGTTATCATCGGTTCTCATTTTGCCAGACCGTGTTCATAAGGGCAGACCCGAGTTTTGCTGAGCTGTTCAAACAAGAAGTTACATCGGGCTCGCGTCTCATATTTACTACACCCGATTATTCGTTTATCTCACCGAACGCGTTTCGGTCGGAGGTGCTTGTCGTTTTTGCCCGGTGCTTTTAACGTCTGCGAGTCACATTTCCCTGCGTATTGCCGTCCCTTGCTCCCAAAATGTGGCTATAAATACGTTTTTGCAACTGTAGGCCGCCCTGACCTAATCATAACTAATAAATCTGGCCTCGTCTTTAGCGCGAATGCGTGTAATTGTAGTGCTCTGCCACCAATTTTTTTTAACGTTTAGCAATTCAATGCTGAACTGATCACGCGTGTGAATCGATTCTATGTGACATTAACGCATCGCTCCCAACCTTCTATGTGAACGTACCGAGCTGGTGGCACAATCGCGGGTGCATCAAACGAATAAGTGGGTGTAGTGTTTAACACTTGGTTGGGAAAGTAAGATCCTGATTGGTTTTACGAGTGACGAATTTTTTTACGAGCGGGAGAAATATATGGGCGAAGTTCCTAAGTGTTGAGGTCAACACAAGAGCTCAGGGGCAGGTTTGGGTCACATCCGAACCTCTTCCGGGACAGGTTTGGAAAGTTTGGACTCTGTGCGACCAAGATTGTGCGAGAGGGTTCCGCCCTACCTCCTTACACATAATAGAAGCATTACCACTCCAGAGGTAAGCGATTTTCTATCCGAAGGCGTCAAAAGAGAAAAGAAATCTCGTAACAGGGGTGAGCAGCAGTAGCGCTCCCCTTTGCCTATGCTTATGATTAGGTTATACCCGTCACCTTCCCGCCACCCGACCTCCGCTTCCCCGCCACCCCATCTCCCAGCTCGCCGACCGATCTCCCGTGCTCGCCGCCCGTCCCCTTCCCGCGGCCCGATCTCCCATCTCTGCCGCCCGATATCCCCTTTTCGCCTCCTCTCGCCTCCCCGCGCGGCCTCCTCTCCCCTCCCGTCGCCCTCGCTTCCCCCTCCCGTCGTCCTCGCTTCCCCCTCCCGATGCCCTCGCTTCCCCCACCCATTGCTAGTCCACTTGCGCCATCTGTCAGCGTGGGGCAGCAGCATCACCAACGCCTCCTCCTCTCACCTCCTTGCCTTCCCCCGTTCCCCCTCTCCCCCCCAAACCCCCACCCACTCTTCCTCTGTAGTCCCTGATTCACTTGCGCCATCTGTCAGTGTGGGGCAGCAGAATCACCAGCGCTTCTGCCTCGCTGCTCCTCGCCTTCCCCCACCTGCTCTCCGCCAACCTCGCCTGGACTGCCCTCTCTCACCTCCCCGCCCACCCCTCCCTCACCGCCCTCCACCTCTCCCACTGCCCCCTCCTTTCCATTGGGTTCCCTCTCCCCTCCTCCTCGTCCTCTCCCTCCGCCTCCTCTCCTTCCTCCTCTCACTCCTCCTCCTCCTTCCCCCTCACTCATCTGGTTATCTCTGGTGCCTCAATCGCTCCTCCCTCCTCCCTCTTCCCTCCTCACCTCCTCGCCTCCCTCACTCGCCTGACCTCTCTACTGCTGCTGTCCCTGACGCCCTTCTTTTACACCTCGCCCACTCCCTTCCCCACACGGTACGTTAGCTCCTCACCACTCTCCCTCATACACCTTGATCTCTCTGGCTCACTCTGTTTCCCCTTCTCATTCTCTTCCCCCCGGCTCACTTTGTTTCCCCTGCTCATTCTCTTCCCCCCGGCTCACTCTGTTTCCCCTGCTCATTCTCTTCCCCCGGGCTCGCTTTGTTTCTTCCTGTTCACTCTATTTTCCGCTACTCAGTCTGTTCCCCCTTTCACTCACCCCATTTCCAGCCGTGCAGGGTACATGTCCCAGTCCCTGCACCATGGCCCAGGGTTTATTGCATGCAGTGTAGCAGCCAAGAAAGGCCCAGAAACATAACATTTCTAGCTGTCTTGTTTGTCACGATAGTCAGTTGCCAAGTACTTCCTTTGTTGTGGTCATGTGCATGGCTGCTTCTGAGCAAAGTGTTTGTATTATAACAAAGCATCCAACATCAATATACGGCACGGCCAATCATCGTAGTACTATCAAACTGTCAAATGTTGTAGCCTGTAGTGAGGTTTGTCTTAGGGGGTACAAATGTTAGGGTTTGCTTTGCTATATGTACCCCAACCCTCATCAATAACACAACACTTTAATTCTTGACATGGTATCACCTAGGTTAGGATCCTGTGGGATCCCGCTCCTCCCGTCCTCGTTCGTTCCGCCCGAGCCTGTCTCGCTCTCTCGTACTAGTCGTACCCGTCTTGCCCGAGCCTAGCGCCGGCCCGATCTAGTCTCGCTCGTTCGTTAACGCCCGCTCCGCCGACCTGCTTTCCGCGTAGGGTAGCGTAGCACCCGCTCCGCCGACCTGCTTTCCGCGTAGCGCCCGCTCCGCCGACCTGCTTTCCGCGTAGCGTAGCGCTCTCCCCGTCCCATCACGCCCTCCCCCGCTGCTCGTCGCGACGTGCCCTCCCACCCTGCCCGTCGCGTCGCGTCCTCCCTGTCAAAATAGTAGGTATGGCTAGAGCCACTAGCCTAGGGTTTAGGCTAGGTAAGGGAGAGGAGTTCGAGCAAAGGAGTGTTGGGCTGAAAAACCCTTAGGATCTTTGCAGGGGTGAACTCTGGGTAGAGTTGGTGTAGTAGCGGAAGCGTTAATTAAGGAGTTGTGAACCACCTTGCGCTAGTATGTGAGGGCAAAGTAAGTTGATTAAAACAAAGAGATACAAGCTTTTATAAGAGTACAAGGAATACGAAGAGATACAGTTAATAACCGTTTTACTATTGCTGTTGCGGTTCGATACAGTGACGACTCGGGCAACTACTCAATACCGAGTCAGTTGTTTGTCCTTGCTGTCGCGCTATACTTTGTCAGGTCAAAGGTCGCTGACCTTTGACTTTCGCGTAACCTCCAACAGTTACTTTCAACCTCCGAGGGTTGACTCGCCGGTGATTCGTTATACTTCGTTTCTTTTGTGTCTTAGTGTTTCGACACGACAGAGGCGCTTAGGACCGATTGTTTCCAACACTCCCCTTCGCTTCTGGAGTGTCGCTGACGTGGCTCTGTCCAGTCAGCAGCATGCAGTATTCGAACTTCTGCTTTCCGAGCTTCTTGGTCAGGTAGTCAGCTGCCATCTCGGACGTGGGACAGTATGACAGCTCGAGCCTTCCCTTCTCGATCTCGTCCTTCACGAAGAAATATCGCAGGGCGATGTGTTTCGTCCTGTTCGCGAAGCCGTTCTTGTTGGCAATGCGAATTGCCGACTGGTTGTCGCAGAACAGGGTAAAGTTGGGTAACTCGGCTAACTTCGCTTCTTCCAGCAGCTCGCGAAGATAGAGTCCTTCCTTGGTGGCTGAGCAGAGTGCAATATATTCTGCTTCAGCTGACGAGAGAGCAATTAATTCCTGCTTGCTCGACTGCCAAGAGATAGGTCCGATAGGTTCGAGGCGGTAGATGTAGCCGGTGCGGGAGCGCCTATTGTCGGAGTCGCCAGCGTGATCAGCGTCGACGTAGCCGATTAACTTAGTCGGTGTGGTTGCGTTCTTGTAGTAAGTTAGGCCGATCGTTGGGGTGCTGACGAAGTAGTGAAGAGCGCGGTCGAGCTCCGCCAGATAGGTGGCGAGCTGGCTTGCGGAGTATGAGAGGTCGGGGCGACAGGTGACGGTTGCGAAGAGAAGACATCCCAGCTTCTTCTGGTAGTCTCGTATGCCGGCGGGCTTGAGTAGAGCGGAGCTTCCTTTGTCGTTCCCTGCCGTGTAGCGGTATGGCGTGGAGATGCCTGTCGGTGTGAGCGTAAAGCGTTTGGCGATGGTGTCGGCATATTTCTCGGCGCTGAGGTAGATCGCGTCCTCCTCTTCCCGGATGTTGAGGCCGAGGTACTGAGTGACGGTAGATGAAACTGTGAGCGTGAGATCTCACTGCAGCTCCCCTTCGAACCAGGTAGTGATGCCGTCATTTGAGCCGATGTAAAGGAGATCGTCCACGTAGACGATTAGTAGGATGTGGTCGTCGTTTTTTGTGAGCCGGTACATGCCTTGATCGTGCGGTAGTTGCTTGAAGCCGATGCGGATGAGGCGAGCGTGCAGGTACTGTTGCCACAGTCGCGGAGCCTGCTTGATGCCGTAGAGTGACTTGAGTAGCTGGCAGACTTGGTTGGGTTCTCTGTGGGAGCCGTGCGGTAGCTCGACGAAAATTTCTGCATCAACAGGTGCGTAGAGAAACGCGTTCGCGACGTCAATTTGTTGCAGCTTCTTCTTCTTCATGGCGGCGATTGCGAGGAGAATGCGTAGTGAGGTGTGGCGGCTAACCGGAGCGAAAGTTTCGGTGAAGTCGCGTCCGTGTTCTTGGTCGAAGCCGCGTACAACCCAGCGAGCTTTAAATTTGTCAATGGTGCCGTCAGCCTTTGTCTTCACACGGAAGACCCACTTCCCGGTGAGCACTGTCTTGTTCCGTGCCACGCCGATAGGAACCACTTTCCACGTGTTGCGTTCCTCCAGTGCCTTCAGTGTCAGAATCCCAGCCACTAGACCACTGGGATAAAAGGGCTTGTTAAGTAGCGGGTCAGTGCGCCCATAACCCCCCAGGCAAACGCGCCTGTAACCCCCCCTAGGATCGATCGGGGATCTCACAGTGCAGCTCTACTGACACCCCCCCACACTGGGAGGCCCAGGACTGAGCACAGTGGCAACGGCCTACATGTGCATACACCGGGATTCGAACCCAAGACCTCTCTGATACTATGTCAGAATCCCAGCCACTAGACCACTGGGATAAAAGGGCTTGTTAAGTAGCGGGTCAGTGCGCCCATAACCCCCCAGGCAAACGCGCCTGTAACCCCCCCTAGGATCGATCGGGGATCTCACAGTGCAGCTCTACTGACATTCAGCTCCTTGTCCATGGCTTCGCGCCATTTTTCCTTATGCTCCCCCCCCAGAGCCTGTTGAACCGTCGCAGGCTCTTTAGGAATGGCGGTGCCGTGGACTGCGGTGACGAGTCCGAGAATTTGCAGTCCACTCTGTGAGTAGCGGGGAAGATTTGCGTCCTCGGGATAAGCTGCTTCATCTCCCGCTTCTGGATCAGGTATGAAGTTGGGTCCTACTCGTTCTGCTTCGTTGGTGTTGACTGTCGCAGGTGTTACATAACCGTTGTCGGCGAAATAGTAGAAGGTTTCGGCGTTGACACTTTCGCGAGGGTTATCTTCGTCCATGGGAACGTCGACGAAGCAGAACGGAAGAGGTCCGGCTTCTTCTGATGCGTTGTCCACATTCTGCTCGTCCCAGTCAGCTTCGTCCGCTGCTGAGGCGAAGGCTCGGTCACCGCGAAAACCACCTGTGGGATCCTGGTCTTCTTGCAGGTTGGCAAGGTATGTCTGGAGCGTGAGTCGTTCGTAGAAAATTACATCACGTGCTGCTACTGTTTCCTTGGAATGGACGTCGAAGATTTTCCACGCGTTGTAGTTCTTTTCGATTCCCAGGTGTAGTCCCCACTGTGCTCGTTGAGAAAATCGGCCCGCTCGTGCTGCTGGGGGTCGGTACTGTACCATGCATCCGAATACTCGTAACATTTTTGTGCTGCCTTGTTTCCCTGTCCATAGCAGATACGGTGATGCGTTGTTCGGAAGCGATGATGACGAGAGCAAGTTGTGCAGCATGACGGCGTGGTCCATTGCCGCAGGCCACTGGTGGTTGGGTAGCCGCATGCCACGTAACAATTTGCGCATGCTGTTCTGCAAGGTCCTGTTCATTCTTTCTGCTACACCTTGCTGCTGATGGGCGTAGGGAAGGGAGATGAGCCGCTTGATTCCCCTTTCCGCTAGGTACTGCTTGAATCGCTGAGAGGTGTATTCTCCTCCTCCGTCTGACTGGAAGCTTTTCAGTTTCACGCCCGATTCTCTCTCTGCTACTGGTAGCCAGGCAACGAAGGCTGCGAATGCCATGTCGCGGCTAGGGAGGTTTAGGTGCCAGACGTAACGGGTGGCGGCGTCGATGAAGGTGATTGTATAGTTGTATATTACTTGTCCTGGTTCCCGATTGTACAGGATGTCGCTATACACCTTCTCGAGTGGTGCGTACACGGGTGCGCTCGGGTTGTGATGAGACGCAAACGGTCGATGTGGTAAGTCACCTTCAGGGCAGGTGAAGCACGTTCCGCGTACTCGTTGAAGTTCTCGTCCGTCGGTCAGTAGGAGTGAGTCCTTGTCGAGTACTCCTGCTCTTATCGTATTGTTAAATACTGTGTTGCTTGGGTGTCCCATCCTTGCGTGCCAGGTGCTTTCGTCGGCACGATGTCCGGGTGATCGTCGGTACATATCGGAGTTGGAGTAGAAGTTGGCGGTGAAGTTGGCGCTATGATGAACTTCTCGTGGTGCTGGGTGTAGTTGTTGCGCTGGTGTCGGTGGTGTGTCGTCGATGAGGAGCGGTGTCGTTGAAGGACCAGCAATTGGTGTTGACGTTCCTGCTGCTGCCGTTGATGGTTCTGCTACTGCCGATGTTGTCTCTGCTGCTGCCGATGTTGTCTCTGCTGCTGCCGATGTTGTCTCTGCTGCTGCTGATGTTGTCTGAATTGTTGCTAACGCCCTTGTTCTTTCCGCTTCAGGGATGGTGTGTGAATACCGGAAGCCTTCTGGACTGAAGTCTGGATCAAGGTCTGGAGGGTGTGTCCAGTTGGTGAAGTTAACGATGGCGTCGCTGTCGGCGGTGCCAAGATCAGGAACGAAATCAAGAACGAAGACGTTGTTCTTGAGGACCGCCTTGCCGATGTAAAGTCCTCCTCTCCCGTGATACAGCTTGAATTCTTGGGTGGTGCTGTCTGCTTCGAGGTGAATCCCTTTCGCCATTAGCTGACTGACGCTCAGTAAGTTGTAGCCGAGTCCCTCCGCGATTAGTACTTTTGACATCTG